GCCCGCGCGCTCCGCCCCTTTACTCCTGGCGGCGGGGCGAGCCGGGCGTCTGCTGCAGCGGCCGCGGTGGCAGAGGAGGCCCAAGAGGACTCGGCGGCAGCGGCGGCGGTGGGGGGACCGGCAGCAGGAGCTCCAGCAGCAGCAGCCGCCAAGAGCCCCCTGTCCCGCGTCGCAGAGCGCGCTGCCGCACGAACCCCACGAGCCGCCCACCCCAACGCCCTTGGCACAGCCTGACCCCGCCGGCGCGCCCGCCCGCCGCCAGCCCAGGCAGCGCCCCCAGTCGTCCTCCGACTCGTCCTCGGCCTTCAGCTTCAGCCGCAGTCGCAGCCGCAACGCCACCCGCAGCCGCAGCCCCAGCCCTAGGCGCAGCCACCGGCGCAACCCCAGCCCCAGCCCCGGCTCCAGCCCCAGCCCCAGCTCCAGCTCCTCCCGGCAAGGATCCTGCGCCGACGCCCTGGAGGTTGGGATGCTCTTGTCCAAAATCAACTCGCTTGCCCACCTGCGCGCCGCGCCCTGCAACGACCTGCACGCCACCAAACTGGCGCCTGGTGAGTGCCCCCCTGGTCCGGGGATGATGGTGGTGGGGGCGGCTGGACCCCCAAGGTGGGACGCTCGGGGCTCGGGGGCCGGCACTGAGCCCCCCGTGCCTCTCCCTCGCCTAGGGAAGGAGAAGGAGCCGCTGGAGTCGCAGTATCAGGTGGGCCCGCTATTGGGCAGCGGCGGCTTCGGCTCCGTCTACTCAGGCGTTCGTGTCGCCGACAACTTGCCGGTGAGTGGGCGCCCCGCCGTGGGGAGGGCGCGCCGGGCGGGGGGCGCACGGGTTTGTTTTGGCCCTGGCTAGGGGACTTAACAGGGGCTCTCTGGGCTTTCAGGTGGCCATCAAGCACGTGGAGAAGGACCGGATTTCCGACTGGGGAGAGCTGGTAAGTGCCCTGGAGGGAGCGACCCTGTGAGGGGTGGGGAGGGGGCGCCCCTCTTCTCCCGCCCTAACGCGGCTCCCGCGCCCCTGCAGCCCAGTGGCACCCGAGTGCCCATGGAAGTGGTCCTGCTGAAGAAGGTGAGCTCGGGCTTTTCCGGCGTCATTAGACTCCTGGACTGGTTCGAGAGGTCCGACAGTTTCGTCCTGATCCTGGAAAGGCCCGAGCCGGTGCAAGACCTCTTCGACTTTATCACGGAAAGGGGGGCCCTGCCGGAGGAGCTGGCCCGCAGCTTCTTCTGGCAGGTGCTGGAGGCCGTGCGGCACTGCCACAACTGCGGGGTGCTCCACCGCGACATCAAGGACGAGAACATCCTCATCGACCTCAATCGCGGCGAGCTCAAGCTCATCGACTTCGGGTCGGGGGCGCTGCTCAAGGACACTGTCTACACGGACTTCGACGGTGAGCCAGGCCCGAGAGGGAACTGCCCAGGTGACTCGGCCCGGCCTGGAGGCCTCGGCCAGTCTCCCTTTTCTGCCTTTTGTAAAGGTCATCGGGCCGCCTGGCTCGCTGCTAGGAGGGGTGGGGCGAAGGAGCGCTTTCCAGCGTAGTAATAAGGTCGTGGTTTTCAAGCCAAATGAACCTGTAATGTTTCTGGCATGATTTTATTTTTTAAGTGGAATTCAGTGGGTTCCAAGCGTTGTCGATGAGTAAGAGGTTACAGGCAACCAGCCGTAGCCCAGATTTTTGAAGCCTGACCCAGTTTCCCCGCCAGTAAAAGGATGGGAGGGGAAAGCGGGAGAGATGAAAACTGATGCCGCTTTTGTAATTTTTGTTTTGTTTTAAAAGGGAGTTTTCTGGAAGGTAATTTTTAGAGCTGCAGTCAGTTTTTCCCCTTTCATCCAGGAAGGGACAGGGAATAGAAAACAGTAGTTTCACTTTATTTTGTTGTTGTTTTTGATGTGGGGTGAAGGAGCCAGGAATGAAACTTGTGAAATAAGATCTGTTGTTGGTTTGAAAATTAGTTGGGTGTCTCTGCAGAAAGGATGAAAACCTGCCCTAGGGAGGGGCTTGGAGCGGGTTCTTTCAGAAAAGAAGGAATGAAGAGCTTGAGATCAAAGCAAAGGAGGGTGGGTCATCTTCTGAGCGGCTTGACCTAACAAACGACAGCCTTTCAAAACTTGTGACTCGGGCTTGTGGTTTGTGTTTATTTGCCCTTGGAGGACGCTGGGTTGGGCTGCATTTTTTGTATTTAACAGTTAATGGCTGGCTGGATCCTCCCATGTTTTTTTTCCTTCGCGTCTTTGCTGCCCCCTAGTGAGTACCAGCGGGATGGCAACTTTTTTTTTTACAACCCAAAGTTTGTAAACAGGAATCACGTGGTCTGAAACCAGCCCTGCAGCTCTGCCTGCCTTCCCAGTCCAGGAAGGAAAGGACAAGGGTGTCTGCCACTGCACTCAAAAGGTGGGGAGGAAGGCCTCCCAAAAGGCACCCTGACTTTTGATGTCGTGCAGGTGTTCTCACCTGGATGGGATCTGAGATGAGAATCTCACCCGGGTTTGATGGGCAACGTTGAACGCAATTTGCTGATAGTCTGTGGCCTAACTCCCTTGATAGTGCAGGCGGTCATCCATTCATCCCTTGCGGGTGGTCCTGCCACATGCAGGCCTCAGGGTTTGGGTCTGCCGCCAGCCCTGTTTGTTTCTTGGAGCAGTTTGTAAAGCATTTCAGTTTATGGTTTGGGCTGGTAGAGTGGTAGGTAATGCTTTGGGTTGGAGAGATGCCATAAGCCACTCATCCACTCTCCTTTTAGCCGGGGTTGGGGGGTGGTTGGGGAGTGGGGGAATGGAGTTCACCCAGTTCTTGAGGAAAAAGGAGAGGAGTGCTTTTTAAAATAGAATTACTCACCATACCACCCCCGTTGGTTTGCATTTAATTTTGCTGAAATGTGTTCTCCCTCCTATTCCCCCGGCTCACAGGGACCCGAGTGTATAGTCCTCCAGAGTGGATCCGCTACCATCGCTACCACGGCAGGTCGGCGGCTGTCTGGTCCCTGGGGATCCTGCTATACGATATGGTCTGTGGTGATATTCCCTTTGAGCACGATGAGGAGATCATCAGGGGCCAGGTTTTCTTCAGGCAGAGGGTCTCTCCAGGTAACTTCTGGGAACCCCCTTGCCTAGACTGTTACTCCTGGGGGAAGAGGTGAATTCTGGAGAGCTTCACTGGGGATGCTGTGACCCTGGGCTTAGCAGAAGGCTAGGCCAATCAATGATTTACCCGTGAGAACTCCCCAGAAATCCGGTGGCTTGATTTTGAGCTTTCCTTGGGAGGTCAGAGGAAGTGCATGTCTGAGAATGTAAAGATAAATAAGAGAATCTAGTTTTTCTGAAGTTTTGAGGTTTTTTTAAGTACCAACAGAGACCTACCTGACCTTTTAACTCCTGACTGTTTTTCCAGGGAGTGAAAAGTTGAGGGCTCTTTTAGCGGTCTTCCTTAAGGCAGTAGCTCTCTAAATATTATGGTTCCAGTGACCTCATTGTGGGTGGTGGTCACGCTTATAAGTCATAGGTGAGTTGAACCACCTCAGCATGCTCAGTGGTGTCTCTTCAAACTCCCTTGTCATCATCCTTCCCTTTTCTGGTGAGTGGGAGTCGCGGGAAAGGCCCTAGCTATTGATGTTGAAAAACCACAGGGTTAAGAGGGGAGCTGTGTTTTCACCTGAGAGCAGGCTGAAGGATCCAGATGTTAGTGAATACCTACTATTGAAGTTGGCATTCTAGAAAAAACATGGCTTCCTTCGGACCCCTGACTTGTGAGCCCCTGGGAAGCAAATTGGGAAGTCTTTTGCATTGCAAAAAACAAGTTGAGTCGTTCCATTTGTAACCTCTGTTTATTCTGCTTTCTGCAGAGTGTCAGCATCTCATTAAATGGTGCTTGGCCCTGAGGCCATCAGATCGGCCAACCTTCGAAGAAATCCAGAACCACCCATGGATGCAAGATGTCCTCCTGCCCCAGGAAACTGCTGAGATCCATCTCCACAGCCTGTCGCCAGAGCCCAACAAATAGCAGCTTTTCTGGCAGGTCTTCCCCTCCCTGTCACATACTCAAGGGAGGGGAAGCTTCCGTCTCCGGCTTCCCAAGTACCAGTGACACTTCTCACCAAGCAGGACAGTGCTTGATACAGGAACAACATTTACAACTCATTCCAGACCCCAGGCCCCTGGAAGCTGCCTCCCAATGGGTGGGAGGGGGAGGGGGGGAGAGACTCCACTCCAGGCATCCTAGGCCTCAACTCCCATAGATGCTCTTCTCCTTCTCATAAGTGTCCAGCATTGCTGGACTTCTGCAAAATCCCGGGGGTGGGGGGTTGGGGGGGTGGGTGAGGACCCTGCCATGGAACTGTTCCCTTCATCACAAGTTCTGCTGAATGCCGTGACGGGTCGGGTAGGGGGGAAACAGGTTGGGATGGGATATAGGATTAGCACCATTTTAAGTCCCTGTCACCTCTTCCGACTCTTCTGAGTGCCTTCTGTGGGGACTCCGGCTGTGCTGGGAGAAATACTTGAACTTGCCTCTTTTACCTGCTGCTTCTCCAAAAATCTGCCTGGGTTTGGTTCCCTATTTTTCTCCCCCACCCCCCTCTCCCCATCCTTCATATGAAAGGTGCCATGGAAGAGGCTACAGGGCCAAAACACTGAGCCACCTGCCCTTTTTTCTGCCTCCTTTAGTAAAACTCCGAGTAAACTGGTCTTCCTTTTTGGTTTTTTACTTAACTATTTCAAAGCCAAGACCTCACACACACATACACAAAATGCACAAACAATGCAAATCAACAGAAAAACTGTAAATGTGTGTACAGTTGGCATGGTAGTGTACAAAGGACTGTAGTTGATCTAATTTTTTTTTTTTTAATTTTGCCTTTAAGTTATTTTACATTTTTTTTTCTTCTCTCTCTTTTTGGAAAGATGTGCATTCTAACCTGGAGGTCAATGTTATGTATTTATTTATTTATTTATTTGGTTCCCTTCCCCCTGCTCCGAGCTTCCAAGGCTGCTGCCCTAGTTTTCTTTCCTCTTTTCCTGTTCTGACTTGGGGACCTTTTCGGGAGGGCTGCGACGCTTGCCTCTGTTCGTGGGGTGACGGGACTCAGGCAGGACAGCTGCTGCAGCTCCCTGACCGCCATGGGGCCCCCTCTCCCACTTACCCAAGTGGGTCTGGGTTCTGTGGGTGGTGGGGAGGGGGCGTTGCTGACTTGTATATAGGATAGGTATATGAAAAGCAGTTCTGGATGGTGTGCCTTCCGGATCCTCTCTGGGGCTGTGTTTTGAGCAGCATGTAGCCTGCTGGTTTTATCTGAGTGAAATACTGTACAGGGGAATAAAAGAGATCTTATTATTTTTTTTTTTTATACTTGGTGTTTTTGAATAAAAATCTTTTGTCTTAACTTGCGGCTTCTAAGTGTTGTCTATGCAGAGGCATGCTGAAGTGTGCGTTTGTTGAGCGCCTGGTAAGAGCCAATATCCTGCACTAGGAGGAGAAAGGGAACTTTTAGCTCAAATTTGCTTTTCTTCAACAGATTTCTGATGTGAATATATGGCCAAGGAGTAGAGCTGATATTGTGTGGGCTAGATTTGGCATGAGGGGCCCAAGGAAATCCCAACCTCATTTCCTGATCAAATTCTAGAACTGCCCTAATAGAGCACATGTGGCTCTTTCTTATTTGCACTAGCTACTCAGTGTTCAGTAGACATCTGTGGCACTTGTGAACAGTGCAGATATAAACATTTCTGTCACTGAAGGTTCTATTGGATAGAGCTGGTCTACAGATACCATGTGTACCCCTATTACTTCAACAGTGGAAGCTTTTTGTCTTTCCCACTAGTAAAACATTTTGAGTGTGTACCCTCCGTATATATATGTTACATACCTGTGTTACTCTCAGCTCCTGAATCAAGGTACCTTCACCTTAATGTGAGGGTTCATCGTAAATAGTAGATGGATGGAAATGTGAGTTTTGACCTAACAGCTAGGGATTTCCCCTCCGATGTGCTTGTCAAGGGGCTTGTACCAGGAATGGGTGAAACGTTAGCCCTGCTGTTTTTCTGACTGCTTGGGCTTGGATAATTAGTATTTTCAGCGCAGCTTCTTTGCAGCAATCTGTTTAAGCCCCTTGTCCGTTTTGTGCGAGTTAGTTTAAACTAGAAGCCGGAACCCAGGAATCCACTTAGTACACATGGCCTGAGTATGTCCTGATGGGCTGAGAGCACACGGGAGGGTGTGCCGCTGCCAGTTTGTGCATTAAGTATTAGTAAATAATGGTTTCTTATTTCTAACACTTCTCCCTCCCTGTGGGTCATCTTGCTCCTCTCCTCACTGCACGCATACACTTTGGACACTAGCCCACGTGCTCTCGGCACACTGCTAGAGGGTCTAGGCCACAGTGCCCTTCACTTCTCATTGTATTCTAGTGTTTGTCTACCCTTAAGCTTGGACTAGATCCTACACCCTAGCTCAGCCCCCGTGTGGCTGCCAGGAAGGAAGGAAGGATTTCTTGGTTCTGTGGGGCTGATTTTCTGAGGTTCCCCTTTTCTCTGCACCCTCCCTCTGTCCCCCTCCCACTCCCAACCCCTTGGAGAGAGGATTGCATGCTTCATCCTTTCCAGTAAAGTTGACACTTGAACAACTAAAAGTTGCTCCAAGCTCCTAATGAAATCCGGCAGGCCACGCACTTGGTTTCTGGCCATTTTCCCGTCCTCTATTGAGGCTGCTAGGGTGATGACTGCTAAGGTCCCTCTGAAGAAATATATATTGTTTTCCGACTGGGTGCAAGGTATTAGCAAGTGTTATGGGGAGGGTGAAAAGGTAATATTTAGTCTCTTCTCACGCACAGTTGAAAATCTAGTGCGGAAAGGAAGTCAGATAATTAATAGGGCAGTGTGGGATCAATGCCATGGCTGTGGGAATATGGAAGAGAAAGGGAAGCAACGGTCAGGAGCATCGACTTGGGAATCAACTTTGGGCTTAGACTCTACCCCCATTACTTTCCTAGATGCCTTGGACAAGTTATGCTCTATGAGACTAATCTCTAAATAGGACTGTTTCTTGATAGGGCTGTTAGGGTGGAATTAAATAATGGATGTACATGAAAATAAATACTGTTTCCTGCTTACTGACTCATACCTATGTACAGGGACAGGCGACAAAACATTTTCACAGTCAGGACAGTGGGAGAGGAAGGGAGGTTGTGATTTGGGGAGGGGATATCTGCACAGGAAGGTCCTTGGCTAGTGCAAATGATTTGTGCTCAACTATTAACTGAAGGGTTGACAGTTCGAGTCCACCCAGCAGCCTCACGGAAGAAAGCCCTGGCAATCTGCTTCTGTAAAGGATTACAGCCAAGAAAACCCTATGGAGCTCAGTTCTACTCTGCAACACATGAGGTTGCCATGGTTGGCATCAACTCAATGGTGATGAGTTGTTTTTTTTTTTAATCTGCAGAGAGGTCTTCACTGTTCTGGCAATGCTTTGTTTCATAAGCTACACAGGGAGGACTAAAGTGTTTCTATTCTTTATAGCTTTTGGGTTGTCTTAAATATTTTATGATACAATTTAACAGTAACAGACATGTATGTGCTTATCATGTAGGAGGCAGCAAATGGAGTTATTACTGCCTTGGGCTGAGGTGACTCGGAAGTCTTCCAAGAGGAGGCGGCATTTCAACTGGACTTTGAAGAACGAGCCTTGGTTTGTTCATCCATAAAGTGAGGCACTGAACATGCAGATGTAACACAGAAATCCAGAGGGGCTAATATTTTTTTCCCCCTCACTAGACCAGGAAACCCTGGTGGCGTAGTGGTTAAGAGTTCGGCTGCTCACCAGAAGGTTGGCAGTTTGTAATCCACCAGGTGCTCCTTGGAAACCTTATAGGGCAGTTCTACTTTCTCCTATAGGGTTGCTATGAGTCAGAATCGACTCGACGGCAACAGGTAATGTAACGATAATCACTAGACCAGGGGACAGCAAACAGACCAAATCTGGACCACTTGCTTTGATATGGTACCTTTTTTTGTATGGCCTGTGAGCTGCAACTGTATTTTACACTAAAAAAAAAATTTTTTTTTAATGGGTTTTACATTTTTAAATGGTCGAAAACAAGAGCAAATGAAGAATAGTATTTCATGACATGTGAAAATTATATGAAATTTCAAATGTCGGTGACCATAAGCAAAGTTTATTTGGAACATAGCCATGCTCATTCGTTTCCATATTGTCTATGGCTGCTTTCCTGCTACAGTGGCATATCTGAGTAGCTGCGACAGAGACTGTATGGCCATCAGAGCCAAAAATATTTATTATCTGGCTCTTTACAGAAAATGTTTGCCAACCCCTGCACTAGACCATGGTCTCATTGATTCACCTCCATCTTTCACAGCACTTAGCCTAGTGCCAGGCATATAGTATGTCCTCAGTGGTAATAACTAATACTCATTCAGTACCTACTATGCTCCCAGCACTATTCTGCATGCTTCACATGTATTAACTCATTTAAACTCACAACTCTGTATGAGGTAGGTGCCATTATTTATCCCCATTTTATAGATGGGGAAACTGAGGCACTGTGCAGTTAACTATCTTGTAAAAGTTCACTCACTTAAGAAGTGGCAGTTTATGATCACTCTACCATGTTGTTGTTGTATGCTGGCTCTTGATTCTGACACATAGCAACCCTATAGGACAGAGTAGAACTGCCCCATAGTGTTTTCTAGGCTGTAATCTTTGCAGGAGCAGCTTACCAGGTCTTTTCTTCTGTGGAGCCACTGGCTAGTTTCGAACTGCTGACCTTTCGGTTAGCAGCCCAGTGCTTAACCATTGCGCCACCAGGGCTCCTTAGTCTGCCACTTACTAAGCATTTATGTGGATTAGTCATCCCAGGGTCCCTTTAAGGCCAGGGATCTGGAGGTCCCAAGCCTTGTTCTCCAGACTTCAGAGAGAGTCGGGTAAGAGGATCTGTTCTCTGGAAATATTTACTGTGAGCAGCCTTTCACTTGGGCCTGGGTGGGGAAGAAGGGTTGGAGGCGGTAAAGAGAGGAGAAAGGGGACAAGGGAGGGCAGGGGCGGGGCAGGGGCACATTTCTCGTAAATATTGCTCAGCTCTTTCAACTGCTCTGCTGGTTCTTGGAAACCCTCACCACAAAGGACCTATCAAGAACAGTGTTAAAGCAGATATGGCTTCATCCCCCAGTTCATTTCCTGCCCAACCTTGCGCTACTAACCCCAATTGCCAAGAACAAGGTTGCAATGACCCTTCAGCATCGCTGTGGGAGGAAGTGCAAAAATAAGCAGAACTATGATCAAGCTGAGGGGACAGTCTTTATTATTTTTATTTATTGTAACAGGACATTCCATGCACAAAATTAGAGTAATCATAATCCTTGGCTCATGATATATTCTCATCACGATCCAAGCATGGCCTGCTTTTATTTTATTATATAGGGGGGTGAATCCACCACCTGACTTAAGAACCAGAACATTAGCCATGACATCTATCTCTTAGTCCATCCTCTGCCTACCCACAGGTATAACCCACCATCTTGAATTTTGTGTTTAGCATTCTCTTACTTAAAAGAAAAAAAAAAAACTTTCTATGTGTCTCAAATTATGTAGTATTAAGTTCTTGAACTTTATAAAAAACGGCATCACGCACGTATGTAGTAATCTGGAGCTTGCTCTTTCCACTCAGTGCTGTGTTATAAAGATTCACGAACGTCGTAGTGTGTAGCTGTAGATATTTGCACTTTAGATATTCCATCTTGTGAACAGACATTTGGGTTGTGGCTGGCGGAGGCTAGGCTTCAGGCACCTCCTGGGTCACCTAAATTGCTTAGGAGGTCAGCACACTCAGCAAGGTGTGTGAGAGAGAGCTGTTGCTGCTGAGTCGATTCCAACTCATAGCGACCCTATAGGACAGGGTAGAACTGCCCCATAGGATTTCCAAGGAGCAGCTGGTGAATTCAAACTGCTGACCTTTTGGTTAGCAGCCATAGCTCTCAACCATTGCACCACCCCAGGGTGATAGCCAGCCGGCAGTGACCATGTAGCCATTTTAGACTTATCCACAGAGCACCTACTATGCACCACACACCATGCTGGAAACACTGAGAACCTTTTCATGCACGAGTAGACAGAACCAGAACTTTTCTCATCTGTCCCTCCAGGGTTCAAAATAGACATGTGTCCCAGCAACCCAATGATACAATGTTGCATGGGCTCCCAGTGAAATCTACAGACGTGGCAGTGACTGTTATGTGTGCAGGCATGGTATAGATAGTCTGTGTGGTGTAGGGGTGATGTGTGGTGTATGTGTGGTGTGTGTGTCTGGTGTGTGGAGGTGATGGTGTGGTGCGGTGGTGTATGTATGTGTATGTATCTGTGTATCTTTGGTGTGTATGGTGTGAGGGGTATAGCATGGTGGTGTATGTATGTTTATTTGTGAGTGTGTGTGTATGTGTGTTGCCTGTGTGTACCCCTGTGCACACACACTCATTTCTGGGGTTACCACCTGCTCACCCTCCCCAGACTAGAGATCCCACATTTCTTCGTGCTGTGACCTCGCTGCCTCCTTTTCCTACCTCTGTCCTGATTCTCTCCCCTGTCCCACTCCCTTCTCTCACCTTTCTTCATCTCTCATCTTTTCCCTTCTCTCATAGGCACCCACCCAATTCTCTCCATTCTTCTTGCCCTGCTCCACCTCCAGATAGCCCAGCCCAATGTACCTTTGAGATCTCATCCTTATTTGACCTCTCTGCAATATTCATAACACTATAGCTCCCTCCCTCCTTCTTGAAATACCTTCCAGGGTTTCATAACCCCTGGTTGGCCTTCGACTTCTCTGCCACTTAGCCCTAGTTATGCCTCCCTTTCTTTGCCCTTTATATTTGGGTGTTCACTTCTCTTCTCACCCTCAAGCCCTCTGTGTTGACCAGGAGACAGGTGGCACACTCAAATTGGGTAATGTGAGAAGAATAAAAGAAAAAACTATTCACAAAGGTATGGGGCAGGTTACTGGGGAACCACCGGGGCAATTCTATACCCCAGGGCTAGTGGGAATATGACCTGTTTCAGATCTGAAGGGCCAGAGGAGAAAGCAGGGACTGGAACTGGGAGACGCCCATATGGTGTGGAGAAGGCTGTGACCATCATTTGACAGAAGCAGCCAGCCTGTGGTAAACACACATGGAGGGAGCCGGAGAAATTAATACCCTGACCTCTCTCTCTTCCCACCCTCTGATCTCCTACCAGTGCCTCCCATTAACTGAACCCAACAGGAAGCCAGAAGGCAAGGAGTTAGTTCCAGGTCATGCAGTCCACATAGGTCAGCCTCTGGGGCACAAAGCAAGATGGAGAAGGGCGGGGAGTGGGTCTGAAGAGGCAAAGGGAAGATGTTGAGTCCAGTTGCTGCATGACTGTGCTTTCTCCCCTAACGTCCCTTCTCCATGATGGATCTACAACTCCAGCACAGACCTTTCTCCAATAGCCTGCTAGATATTACAGCCCAGTGTTTCCCAGGAACTCAGTAACTGAATTATCACTTGTGTGTCTGGAGGAAAAAGCCTGAGACATCCTCTACCCTGAATTCCATCCTGCCACAACTCACTCTCAATCCCATTCACAAAGTTCCCGAGAGGCACAGATGCCCCCATAATTTCTGTGTGAAAATGCTTTTTTTGTCGACTTCTAAAAATGACACACGCTTTTTAGTAAAAATAATGGTAGAAAGAAAGTGAGTTAAAGTTATGTGATGTAATCCTACTGCCCCACTTCTTTTACCATATCCAAACCTTATATATATCCAAACTTCATGTGTGTATATAGAGAGAGCGAGCCCTGGTGGTGCGGTGGTTAAAGCGCTCAGCTGCTAATCAAAAGGTCAGCATTTTGAACCCACCAGCCATTCCGTAAGAGAAAGATGTGGCAGTCTGCTTCGGTAAAGATTTACAGCCTTGGAAACCATATAGGGCAGTTCTACTCTGTCCTGTAGGGTGGCTATGAATTAGAATCGACTTGACAGCAATGGTTTTGGTTTGGTTTCTACATATATATATATATATATATATATGTATACACACACATATATGTGTATATATATACATACACACACAATACATTTTATATATAGATGTACACACACATATAGTAATATATTTTATGTATATATGAAAGGTTTTACATAGAGGAGCTCACATCTTTGGTAACCTGTTTTTTTTTTTTTTT